TTCAATTGGATTGTGGTTCTTATTAAGATTTCAACACAATACTATTCTCCCTAAGCCAAAATCCTAACTCCACCATTGCGTCCTCCAATCCTAGCAAAGCCCACCACCTTTCTCCAGTCATCCATTATCTCCTCCCTCTCCCACTCCCACCCACAAGCCACCACCTCCAGCAACCCTCCCTCCCCATGGGCCCACTCCCATCCTCCCAACCCTCATTTCTAACCATTCATTAAACATGTTTTTTTGCATGTGTTTTGTTTATTTTAAAAAATGTGTACCAAACATTTTTTGCTTTTATTTTTAGAAAGAATAAGCATAAGCATATTTAAACAAAAACAAGATCCTATAAAAAATTATCAAACAAAAACCTAGAAACTACTATATGTTGTTAGAAAAATATTATTTATTAATATAATTTAATTAATAAAATAATTAAGAGATTTACGACAAATAAAATATGAAAGTAAGTAAATTCATATAGAGTAAGAAAGAGTTAGCCTGTGAGATTGAGAGGCAGGTAGTCACTGCTTTAAAACTGCTGTTCCTCCCCAAGTGAAGGTACAACCGGAGTGCAGTGGCTCCAAGATACAACCCAAGCGCTCATAGCCTTCCTCATCTGATATTCACGTCTACTAAGAGGATATGAACGAGTCACGAACCATAATTGTTCAAAAATACAAAAGATATATCAAACTATACTCTTCAATAGAATCTCAATATATGTCATACTTATATATACTGTTGTGTGTCTTTTTGTGTGTTCTTCATCTTTAGAAAAACATAAGAATATATATAAGTGAAAATCTTATAAGAATTGATACATAACATTTAATCATTACATAAGTATAGTAATGAAACTTAATAATATCTTTGTAATCGAAATATTTAAAACCAATATTAATATTAATAACGGTCAAACAAATTAAATAGAAATAATTAATTTTATTTTTAATAAAATTCCAATATATGTTAAGTAAGCAAATGGCTAATAATAATCTAAACAAGATTGAAGACATGACACAAAGTGAAATACATCATCAACCCCATGCAATAACATTACAACATCAATTCTATGTCATCAAACTATGTGCTGTCAAACCTCTTGATCTGATAAATATATATAGAAAAAGACTATAAGGAGAGAAAAGCCACAGAATTCCATATTCTAACTTGAAGACTGAGCTGGGTGGGAGTCATCACTCATGCATGGGGGGTCTTCCCATGTGTATCATAAATGAAATGACTTCTCTCAACCCAAGTCATCTAGTATATGTTTTGGAAATTTCAGTTCAACTAACACATGCATTTCATATGAGAGAGAGAGAGGTTTTTGTTTTCTGTTTTTGTTTCTTATTTTCATTTGAACAAAATTTCAATTGTTTAGTTGAATGTACAGAAAAGAAAGTGCATGGCACTGCTTTATTATGGAACACTATGAAAAATTGAAAATTCACCTTATCTCTTTGTTCATATAGGGCAAATTAAACTATACCCCTCAACTAAAAATTATTACATTTTCTCTTTTAATCTTCTTATTTGTTCCAATTTCAACATTTTATCATAAAAACATGATGAAAAAATGTTATGTATATATTATGCATGCCAATTTTATGACTAAAATGTTATTTCAAAAGCTATTTATACGTATATATAATTGAAGATATATATGTATATATATTTTGCTCTCTAATAATAAAAGCGGCATGTACATATATTTTCTTTAACATATTTCTTCACAGGAGAGGGGAAGATATATACATATTTTTCACACGAGTAATATTAGGTATCATGAAAATGATCATAAAAGATTCTCCACCATTAAATTTCACATATAAGATAACATCACACACTTCATGAAATATTTCATGATGTTGTTTTCATGATCCCTAGTATTATTCTTTTAACATATATATAAATAAATCAATTCTTGAATGACCATTTTAATCATAAAATTGGCATGTATTGTTCACATGCCACTTTTCCGTCCTCTTTTCATAATAGAATGTTAACACAATGTTAAAATTGAAACAAATTAAAAGATTAGTGAAGCAAAATATAACAATTTGTAATTGATGGAGTAGAGTGATAAATAGTCCATGGTTAAAAGGGATAAAATATAATTTGTTCAAATTATATAAATTCATAATTCAAATTAAACATTTTAAAAATAAATGATATACACACTCTAGAAATAAAAGTGGAGTGTTAAATAAAAACAGAATGTATGTGGATGTCATTTCACTTTTTTAACACAAAAACAACTTTTCTTCTCTTTTGGATAAGATAAGCTAAAAATTTAAATAAAATATGTATTAAGTGGTATACTCCATTAAATAGATTTGAATTGAATAAAAATTGAGAGGAGCAAGGAAAGAATTTACTTTTCATTTTCTTTTCTCAATTTGCGTTTCACTTTATTCTAAACTTTAGACTTTTCACACTATAGAACAAAGTGTATATATCCTTACACTAGGGCAAATATATTACTAGCATTTTTGCAAATCAATTGAGTTAGGAATAAATTAATGTATACGTATAATGGTGGTAATAGCACCAATTAAAGCTAAATTAAAAAAAAAAGAAAAAAAAAAAGAAAGAGAAACAAATAAACAAAGTAATCATGGTTTGATCATGTATAACAAAAATCTGTAGATGCACCACTAATAAAAAAGTGATATGATCACCATAAATAAAAATGTTAAATAAAAGGAAAAATCTAAACTAAATTAGAATGCAATAATAAAAAAATATGATAAAATTATTTAATTTCACTGATAATATAATCCTTGACCGAATGGAATGACAAAAAATAATTTATGTAACCGATCATTAAAACATAAAGAATAATTTGATTTGATTTGATTAATTATGTTATGAATAAGTTTAGCATCCTTTACAAACAACACTCAACAAAGTACAGATAATTACTAGTTTTTGGAGCAATATTCCACACCAATTATCAATGGGTGATTTTACTTACACCACTATTTAACCTTCTTATACCCTCCATCTTATTATATCACTAAAAAAAAAATATAATTTTCATTACATTCCCAGTATATTATCAAAACTAATCATAAATTAACTATTTCATCTCTTTACACCACTAATTTTGGCAACGTGGTGTTAAATAATTTACATTATTCCAGCGTTATGCTGTCGGAAAAAATAGATCTTTCTAGCATTTTGTTACTATACATTTACAGAGCCACTTTCTTCCAAACAATGATTTTTTAATTTGTGGTGGGCCTATTCAGTAATACAACACTAATTAATTTGAATTACTTCAATGTCATGTAATCGGACAAATACTTTTTTTTCCAGCATTATGTTGCTGTCCAATTAAATAATAACAAGAAATTAATTTAGGCCACTTGTGAAGTGCTTATTCAGTGATACATTGTTATACAAATGAGATTACTCTAGTGTCATGTTGCTAAATTATAATAGAGTTGTCTAGGCCCCCGTTGCTGTACATTGAAAGATTTACTTTTTCTTTGAAGTATCCATAAAAAAATTCATGAATCAAACACGCATCCATAAAACCATACATAAAAAGTATCCATAAAATTATTCATAAAAGCATCAAGTGTACGAATATCCATAAAGTATCCATAAAATCTTTCATTGTTTGCATCCATCAATCAAACATTTTATCATAATTCGTCTTGATAATTTGTAGGCAATTTTTCCCCCCTTAATAGAAATAAACATCCACATTTCTTAGAACCTGTCAACCTCAATCGTTTCCTATTGATCTTCCTGCTGTCTCTATAGTAACCACTTCTTTCACAAGCAAGTGTAAATCTTGGTTTTCTGCCATTACCTCCCGTATCTGATGTGTTTATAACAATGACAAATCCAGTCTTCTCTCCCAACGTCAAAAGCCCATTTAATTAATGTTTCACGACTACTTAAAAATCTAAAGATAATAAATATATTTATACGTCAACTTATTAATAAAACTCAATACAAATTAAAATAAGAAAAAATTGTATTCATAAATTTTTTTAAACAAATCTCATCTATAATAAATTCATGACTAGAGTCTACTAATATTGCAGTACTTGTGTTGTTGCAATGAGTATAAGTATAATCCTTCCAGGCAAAAAAAATAAAATAAATAAAAAAATGAAACTAAAAATACATGATAATAAGAAGTCGAACAAATTAAAAAAATTCGGTTTGGGGTTACCAGAAATGTATCCTTTATTTGGCAGTTGATTACCAGATTTATATTTTTTGTTCGGCAATATGATGCCGGACTACTTTATTTTGTTCAATTTCGAACCACCGAATGAAAGTCGAACACCAGTTTTGAAAAACGAAACAAAAATCTACCAAATAAATAATAAAAAAAAAACTCATAATTTCACTTTTTTTATGCTTCTTCACTACCGTTTCTTCATCCATTATTTTTTTTAATGATCAAAATACTATGATTCATATTTTTTGAAAAGAGATGTGTGAGAGAGAAGAAAAATTAAAAAAGAAAAAAGAGTAGGAATTGAAGACCAAAGGGTGTAAGGAGATAATAAAATATATTTAATTTTAATGTCTTGTCCTTAAAAATAATTTCACAAGTAAATAAAATTGAGAGAAAAAAAAACTCATATGAAAAGTATAAAGAGATAAAATAATAGTATAAGTAGAATCACCATTATCAATTGACCCATCTTGCCAAAATACCAACATTAAAGAAATTGACCCTATTGTCCCAGTCAATAACCATGTAAGTGGAAGCATCACGTGTACTAGCTTCACATGTACTAATTGACTTCCCCGATTTGTGTTCATATAAAATTTGGAAAATGTTATGGATCTAAATAATCTATTAAATTTTTTATTAAACTTTTTATATAGGTGTAAGATCCACACAAATTTATATATGTGTGTAGATTCCACACTCATATAAAAAGTTTGATAAAAAATTTGATAAATTATTTAGGATCTCTAACATCATTCTATTAAATTTTTATTCACAATGACATGACTCAATATGATCCTTTTAATGTAAAACAAAATTTTATAAAGATAATTTTATTCAAAAATGTTTGGGATCCCTTTTTTTAGGAATTTCATGACCCCGAATTTAATCTTGGCCCTTGATGTATGTGTGGACCTCACATTATGAGTGGTTGAGATGAGAGTAGGGATCGTAGGGGTTATATGTTTGTGAAGTCTCAATAACAATTGAATTTTGTTTACAAAATTGACATTGCCACCTCATGAGCTGTTTCCACACAATTTCACTGCCAACAACTCTTCAATTATGCCGAGGAAAGGAAATTACAGTGAACTTCCTCATAAAACTAACGCTCCGCGTTCCAGGTCTATCACAGCAAGCTACCTCAGTCCCAAGTTTCCGTTACTATACTATAAAATCATCTCTACAGCTTAGATTATAGTTTCATAGCTTCTTCTTCTTCTTCATCAACCATGCCTCTGCAATCTCGAAAATCCAGCGATACCATCATGTTTCTCGACAAAGCTCACTCAGTTCAAAAAACCAACAAGCGATTGCGAAAGACCTTCAGAGTCATCTATTTTGTTGTTTCTTTGGCCAAGAAAGTCATTGCCAATGGAAAGAACACCCAATTCCTTCCGAGGTTCTCGCCCAGCCCATCTTACGTTGCAATTGATATTCAAGCCATTGATGATGTTGATGACAATCACGATCACGTATGCTTATTTGATATTGATCAGAAAGCACTCTCCGAGATGGTGAGAGAGAAGAACTTTAACAGTCTCTGTCAATATGGAGGGGTAAAAGAGGTTGCGGCAATTCTTGAAACCGACATGAATGTTGGTATCACTGCCAAGGAGAGTGATATTAAGCACAGAATCGATGTGTTTGGTTCGAACACGTACGAGAAACCACCAGCAAAGAGCTTTCTCAGTTTTGTCTTTGAAGCATTCAAAGACACCACCATCATTATACTTCTGGTATGTGCGGTGTTCTCTCTCGGGTTCGGAATCAAACAGCACGGTCCCACAGAAGGGTGGTACGATGGGGGGAGCATTATCGTTGCTGTCATTCTAGTCGTGGTGGTTTCTGCCATCAGTAACTTCAAGCAGAGCAGACAGTTTGACAAGCTTTCCGATGAGAGCAGTAACCTGATGAAAGTGGGAGTGGTGAGAAAAGGCCACAGACAACCCATATCGATTTTTGAAGTCGTAGTGGGTGACATTGTGTGTCTAAAGATTGGTGATCAAGTTCCGGCAGACGGGTTGTTCTTGGATGGACACTCATTGAAAGTGGATGAATCAAGCATGACAGGGGAGAGTGATTACGTCGAAGTAAATGAAACCGATAATCCATTCTTGCTCTCCGGTACCAAGGTGACAGATGGGTACGGTCACATGCTTGTTACTTCGGTAGGCTTGAATACAGCATGGGGTGTAATGATGAGCTCGATAAGCCGTGACTCAGATGAGCAAACACCATTACAAGCTCGGCTTAACAAACTGACATCTTATATCGGAAAGGTCGGTTTACTGGTGGCTTTCCTTGTTCTCGTAGTTTTGCTCATCCGGTACTTCACAGGAAACACTGAAGATAAGCACGGGAACCAAGAATTCAACTACGGCAAGACTAAAGCGAATGATGTCATGAATGCCGTTGTGCGGATTGTTGCTGCGGCAGTTACGATTGTTGTGGTGGCGATCCCAGAAGGTTTGCCTTTGGCTGTGACTCTAACTTTGGCTTATTCAATGAAGAGGATGATGGTTGAGAATTCCATGGTTCGGAAACTCTCTGCTTGCGAGACAATGGGTTCGGCCACCACTATCTGCACAGACAAAACCGGCACACTTACATTAAACCAGATGAAGGTAACAGAATTTTGGCTTGGAAAAGAGGTAATGACAGACAAAGCATCATTAAAAATAGCCCCTAATGTTCTTGAAATGCTACATGAAGGTGTCGGTTTAAATACAACTGGCGAAGTCTATAGACAGTTATCCACATCAATACCTGAAATTTCTGGAAGCCCTACTGAGTCAGCAATCCTCTCCTGGGTCGTGTTTGATTTGGCTATGGATATTGATGAGCTGAAGCAAGGTCATAAAATTCTTCAAGTAGAAGCTTTCAACTCAGAGAAGAAACGAAGTGGGGTTTTGACGAGGATGAATGGAAAAAAAATTCACGCGCATTGGAAAGGGGCTGCGGAGATGATTCTGTCAATGTGCTCAAATTATTACACCAAAAATGGGAATATTATACCCATGAATGATGAAGAAAGAACACAGTTTGAAATGATTATTAAAGATATGGCAGCTAAAAGCTTGCGATGCATCGCCTTTGGTTACAAAGAAGTTACAGATGAAAGTGTAGAGGTCAGCAGAAAGATTGAAGAAACTGGACTTACCTTGTTAGGGCTTGTCGGTTTAAAGGACCCTAGTCGACCAGGTGTCAGGGCAGCAGTACAAGCTTGCAGAGATGCCGGAGTTGATGTTAAAATGATTACGGGAGACAACATCTTCACTGCAAAAGCTATAGCAATCGAATCTGGGATTGTCAAACCCAATGAGGATTTGAACAATGCAGTGGTCGAAGGAGTGACATTCAGAAATTACTCGGACGAAGAGAGAATGGAAAAGATAAACACAATCCGCGTAATGGCTAGATCGTCCCCATCTGACAAGCTTCTGATGGTAAAGTGCTTGAAGCGGAAAGGACATGTGGTAGCGGTCACAGGGGATGGAACAAACGATGCACCTGCACTGAAAGAAGCAGACATCGGACTTTCAATGGGAATTCAAGGCACAGAAGTGGCGAAACAGAGCTCGGATATAGTCATCTTAGACGACAATTTTACCTCGGTGGTGACAGTTTTGAAGTGGGGTCGGTGCGTATACAACAACATTCAAAAGTTCATCCAATTTCAACTCACTGTCAACGTGGCTGCCCTTGTCATCAACTTCGTCGCAGCAATATCGTCTGGTGAAGTTCCGCTAACAGCAGTCCAGCTACTGTGGGTGAACCTCATAATGGATACTTTGGGGGCCTTAGCACTAGCCACCGAGCAACCAACTAATGATCTAATGACAAAGCAACCCGTGGGTCGAACTGAACCACTTATAACAAAGATCATGTGGAGGAACCTCATTGTTCAGGCCTTGTATCAAATAACTGTTTTGCTGATCCTAGAGTTCAAGGGAAGCACAATCTTTGGCGTGAACAAGAACGTCAAGGACACACTCGTGTTCAATAGTTTCGTCCTGTGCCAAGTTTTTAACGAGTTCAATGCAAGGAAGATGGAGGAGAAGAATATATTTAAGGGGATAGTTAAGAACAAACTTTTTCTAGGCATTATTGGGATGACAGTAGTCCTTCAAGTGGTCATGGTGGAGTTTCTAAAGAAATTTGCCGATACTGAGAGTCTGAATTGGGGGCAATGGGTCGCGTGCATTGTGATTGCTGCAATGTCTTGGCCAATAGGTTGGCTTGTCAAGTTCATTCCAGTATCAAGTAAACAGTTTCTCAGCCTTCCCACACAATAGATCTTCTGTGACATAAAACAAATCAGGTATCATATTAGAGGTTTGCAAACCTTCAGTTCTTGTAAATATTGATAAACTACAAGGGCCCATAGCTTTGGGTCTTAAATAAAAGTTCAAGGACTTTCATTTTCTTGCCTTGGTCTGTATTTGTAATTTGCTTTTCGGATCATGCAAGTGAGTGGTGCACCCAGCAATCATCCACAGGGGGCTAAACTCATTGGATGCTATACACACACACACATATATATATGGGTGCCTAAACGAATAGATCAGTACTATACAAACACACAAATTATACATAAAAGTAATACAAAATGATGTGACAAGTTTTGATTTTCATTTCATATCAAAAGATCCATTAGGATGACTTATATTTTAAAAAATGTCACTGACACATCATGAATTTTGAATTTTGTTTTGTATAAAAATCCTGTAAGCATAGCATTTTCCTAACAAATATAGCAGAAGTACTAGAGGGAGGAGACAGCTCTTGATAATTGAAGGATTCAAGACCCAAAACTAAAAACCTTCTCTCCATGTACCACCAACTAAGAAGCATCAACACTACTAAAAAGGTGCTTCTCCGTGTACATGTCTAACACCAACGCTCAACATCTGTCTGACACAGATCCAAATCCAAATGTTACGCTTTGGACACACATCAATCATTTAGAGACAGACATAAAACACATTCACCTTGTTTGATTTTGAGTTTTCAAAAATAGTTTTTTGAGTTTTTAATTTTTATTTCTGTATTTTTAATAATTTTTAAAAATATTTTAATCAATTTTTTTTTTTAGATCCACTTAAGCTTAATATACTTAAAAAATAAAAACAATCATATAAAAATCTTATAAAAATTCATTTAATACCAAAAAATACAAAAATGTATTGACCTTTAATTTTTTTTTAATATTTTTTGTATTTGATGAATTTTTTAAAATAAATTCACAAATATTATACTTTTTAAGCGTATTTAGATTAGGTATATCTAAAAAATATAAAAATTTGAGTAAAATATTTTAAAAAATCATTAAAAACAAAAAAAAAACATAGAAAACAAAAAAACTCAATTTTCTAAAATTGGACTTAATTTTTTAGAACCAAACATTGTGATTATAAGTTTAAACAAAATAACTTTTAAGATACAATGATCAAAGAAAAACAACATAGAATTATACCTATAAATCCCTCCTCCTCTAAACTCTAGGAATTAGTTTTATGTCACATTTTGTATTATCTTTTATGAAATATTCATGTAAATGACATAGAATAAATGTATAAAATCATATATTGTGTGTATCCCTCATGTGTCATGTCATGCATTTTTTGAAAATTGACGTGTTGGCATGTCTATGTTGTGTTGCATGTCCGTCTTGTATCGTGTATCCGTGTCCATGCTTCTTAGACCATTGACACAGGTGGCATCTTCTTTAGGCAATTAGGGACTTGTATTTTTACAAATTTTATAAATTACAAATACAAATTACAAAGTTTTGAAAACTCAAAAAATACCTTAAAATTGTTTCCCCAAAATGGGTTGTTTTAGGATTTTTTTTTTTTTTTAAA